AAAGAGGGCTCATCTTTTTTCTCACTGACATAAGTCAAGTTTCCATATGTGTTAAGTCTAATGTGGGCCCCCTATTGTTTTCCAAGGGTCTGTCTTTGTGTCAGAAGACCAGGCTTTAGAGAATGTGGAGAGTATTGTAATGAGCATGAGGAAATGCGTGGCACAACGTGGTTACATATCAGTGAGGCTTCTAAAGTTCCTCTCAGAGAAACAAGGTCACCTGTATTAGGGCTTGAGTCTCAGAGGTAAGGGGGGAAGGTTCCATGTGTGGTAGAGTGTCAGGATAAATGAATATCAAGAAATTCAGGCGAAACACAATGAATAGACTCCGTGAATATTAGAGCCAGAAGGGACCTTTGAAGCCTCTATACAGTTTTGATTCTTTCAAAATTTTTTTCCTTTTTCTTTCTTTCTTTTTTTTCTTTTTCGGTCCTGTGGATTGAACCCAGGAATGGGCCTGTTGAGTTACATGTAGGCTGGCCTTGAACTTGAGATCCTCCTGCCTCAGTGAGTTGCTGGGATTATAGGCGTGCACCACCATGTCCCATGCCCTGCTCTGTTGGTTCAATTCTAAGACCAATCTTTGTTGATTTTACAGGTCACAATTCTGCAATTCAAACGTGAATTAGAACTCTCATTTCCTGCAGTGATTTATTTCCCCTCTCAAATCATTGTTTAAAACTGTACGAAACAAACAAACAGTGTTAAGGCTTAATCGGTGTGCATAATAGAAGCAGGTGCTTTCCAGAAGGGAGAAGTTGAAAGAGAACCTTGCACAATTGGGAATGTTCTGGGCCCAGGAAAGGACATCCACCAAGGGAAGTTTTGGCAGAGTGTGGTAGGTGCTGGAAGCAGATTCTGCTGCTGGCTCTGCGGCTTGCTAGCTGTGTGAGCTTGCCTGAGTTGGGTAACCTCTGGGCCTCTGCTTCCTCCAGGCCAATGGGGATCATAATCCTAACTTCTGTTATTGACTTTGGGGAGATTTGGTAGACCCAGTAGACTGCCGCCTTTTGCACCCAGTGACTGAACCTATTAGCTGACTCTCAGATGCTCACCTCCCCACTTCCCCACCTTGTTGAACCTTTCTTTCTTGGGATTTTTTTTGTCATTATTCTTTCTCTTACATGTAGAAACCCCACCCACTCTTCCCTGCCCATACAGTCATACAGTCTTCCCCTTAAGCCTCGTCTTGCGCTCCCCTTCTCCAGTCTGGATAAGTATTGCTTACAGTTGGTGCTCTTTTGTCTCTTGGAAAAATCTCCAAATTCTGCCTTCTACTAGCCTTTTCCTGGCTAATTTGCTGCACCCTAAAGATTTTCACCCTTTGAGGACAAGAGTGTGTCTTTGCAAACTCTCTGCCATTCTAGCCTAGAAGAGCGCTACAAAGAATATCAAAGCATGTCTTGAGCACTTGCTATTCTATTGCCCAGATAGCTCAGCGGGGAGCCAAATAGCTGCACCCTGGGTCCTGCCAGAGCCCACTGCATGGCTCCCACTCATGCCCAGAAATGACGCTGGCCAAGCAGGGAAGTGCCCTGTGCCCTAGCTCAACGAGGCCCACCTGTCCTCCTTCTTCAGAAGTCTGTGACTGTTCGATGGTGTGGTGCTGAGCTGCAGGAGCGGTTGGGAAAGTGTCTGCTCCCCGTGTGTTGTCCTGGTGACATTCACAGACAGGGCGGCTGGATGTCCAGCTTTAGGCCCAGCAAGGCCGGGAGGAGCAGTGTGGCTAGGGAGGGGTCCTTGAGGGTACCTGTGTGAGATGACAGGGTGAGAAGGGGAGATAGGAGGGAGAAGCATCCACATCAGGCTGCTGATATGGAGAGGGTAAGCTTGGCTGGGGTCCTGGTCTAAAGCCCCACACTGTGGCTGTGACCGGTGGCTGTTACTGTGAGTTGCTGTCCCTTAGTGCAGACTTGGAAACTACTCTCCCTGAGACAGGAGGTGCCTCCTGCTTGCCTAAGTTGAGATTGCCCTGGGGAGCCCAGGGTCAGTGCAAATTGGCCCCCTGGGGCACCTGTAAACTCACCTAATGACCACTTGGGCCTTGGGCCTCATGCCAGCGCCATCTACATTCTTCATCAGGAAAGGCGGAGGACACTGGAAAAACCAGTTAGGGTGTGTAATGTTCTTTTTTATGTCCAAAGGGAGTGTTGGACTCCTGGTTCAGGAGCCCGGAAATGTATCTTAAAAATTTGCCTTTTCCAAAAAGTTAGCCAGACCCAAGTGTCTTCTGAGCAGGCAGGAGGGCAGGACAGAGGCTGGGGTTCGCTCCTGTTGCCTGGGATGTGGAAGGCACCCAGCCCAGCCCCCTAAGCAGGGCTGGGGCTTGGCGTGTGCCCAGATGTGCTGGCTGGTCATGTCATAAGGTGACACTGACAAGGGCTGTTTTTGGAGGCCAGGCAGCCTCCGCCACTAGACCTCACCAGGTCCAGTGGAGGCAAGGTGCAGAAGCCCCATGATGCACACCTGGGTCACTCCGGTCCCCTCCATGTCCCTGGGATTCACGGGGTACTTGGCTTGTCATTGTTGCTCAGCAGATATTTGGAATGAATGATTTAATTTTCTGTTCTTTTTGCCATTCTGTTGTTCACTGAGGAAGGGAAGGAATGACTTTGGGTTTTGCGAAGCCTCTCTCAATGGTTTTGAAAAAGCTCTTATATTCATTCCATAAGCAGACCCAAATAGAATTCTAGAACATTCCAAGTCCTTTCCCCAGCTACTTCGAGAGAGCCTGTCACAAAAGAAAGTACCTGTGTTGACTTACATCGCTGGGGGATATTCTCCAGTAGTTTTGGAGATTGGAGGTGGGAAATCCGCAGGTACCTGCTCCTGGAGGGTCTAGAACAGGTGGTTCCTGCTTGTCATGTGGGTCCAGGTTTTCCTGGACTTGTGGCCACATCACTCCAGTCAGTGCTTCTGAGGTCACACGGCTGCCACCTCCTGTGTCCCTCATAAAGACACTTGTCGTTGGATTTAGGGCTCACCGGGATAATCCGGGATTATCTCATCCCAGAATCCTTAATTATATCTGCCAAGTCGTTTTCCAAATATAAGGTCACTTTTCCATGAGTAGTAGGACATGACATAGCTTGTTGGGGACCACCGTGCAACCCACTGGAAGCGTGTGTGGAATCTTAATACATCTCTCTCTCTCTCTCTCTATTTCTTCTCTCTCTCTGTCTCTCTCTCTCTGTCTGTCTGTCTCCCTCTCTCTTTTCATGGTAGTGAGGATCAAACTGCATGCCTGCTGTATTCTAGGCAAACACTCGACTACGGAACTACATCCCCAGTTCTTGCATTTTTCTAATCAATTTTTTTCTTTGCTTTTGCTTTGTTTTGTTTAGATGTTTAATAGCTGTTAGCTCCTGGGTTTGCTGTTCCTAGTTTGTTGTTTGCATTCCCAAATTTATATACTTTAACCATTAGCCTCCCTTTCTCCCTTAAGAAGCTGACTTGACTTGGTCATGGTGGTGCCTGCCTATAATCCCAGTGACTTGGGAGATTGAGACAGGAGGATCACAAGTTTTAGGCCAGCCTCCACAAATAAAATCTCAAAATAAAAAATAATAGACTGGGGGTGTAGCTCAGGGGGAGATCACCCCTGGGTTGAGAAAGAGAGAAGAAAAGCAAACTAAAGAAATGGGAGTTTTTATTTCCGTGGTAACTTATTTGGGTATTTGTTGTGAGGGGAAGATCTGCACTTTGAGAAAAATAGCTAGTTTCTACTTGGCATAAAACGTCACAAATATTTAACATCCACATACATGAGAGAGAAATCCCACGGAAATCCAGGCAAGGTCTATAATTTGGGGAATTATATTGTGCAAGTGTCAGTTTCCTGGTTTGGATAATGTACCTTAGTTATACTAGATGCCACCACTGAGGGATATCTTCTTATGAGTCCATAATTATATTAGAAATAAAAGGGCTAGGGAGGGTGGTGCAGGTCATTGGTAGAGTCCTTACCTGGCATGGGTGTAGCTGTAGATTGGACCAACACTCAAAAAAAAAAAAAAATTCCAATCCCAATGGTTAAATAATTTATTTTTGTATATCTTATTAAGTTGTGATGAGTGCTAAGGTGTTTCTGAATTGTAGTTTAACATTTAACTTGGGGGAAAATTGACATCATCTGATACAGGGACGCACTGTATCCTATGTATGCAAGCTGGGTTTTTTTCAATGATGTGTGGGGTGGTCTTCAGGCTGTTTGCAGATCCGTTGAGCTTTGTTATTATTAGGATGCTGTTTTTTCCACTTGCACTCTTTCACCAGCTTGTGTTGGTTTTATGTCATACTGCCTAGGATCCCCACACCCTTCAAATACATGAAATTCCTTGAACTCTGGAAAATGCTTTTCATTCTACCATTAGAGAAAATGTTTAACAGGCTTTGTCGTTCCTTTAAACCTGTGCTCAGGAATGGCGTGGTCAGTTATTTACTCAGTAGTGTGGATTTAGGTAGCTGTGGTTTGTTTTCATCCAGGTGTGTGTGTGTGTGTGTTGGCGGGGGCGGGGGGAGGATAGATGGTTAAGTTCTGGAATTTTCATTTTTATTACTTTGTTACTGGGGTTTGAACCACGGAGCTACATTCTCAGTCCTTTTTATTTCATTTTTAATTTTGAGACAGGGTCTTGCTAAGTGACCCTCCTGCCTCAGCCTCCCTAGTCGCTGGGATGTCAGGCTTGCGTCACTGCCTGGTATACTTTGTAATTTTCATGCTAACTATATTTGCCTGGGTTCTGTTTTGTGGGCAATTGCAGAGTACTGTCCCTGTAGGGTCCCATGGTACATTTCTTGGGGTGTCCCAGGCCCAACCACGCTGGACAGACAGGCTGGGTCATTAATCCAGAGAGTGAGCTGAGATGGCCATGCACTTTTTTCTATTTAACTCCTCAGTCCCTTGAGGCCTGGGTGAGCACTGAGGGCCATTAGGTGGGTGAACCCCTAATTTGGAAACAACTCAGAAATGGAAAATGTACCTTAACCCCCCCTTCCAGGTCAGTCTTATGAAATCCGGCTGCTGGAGAACCGGAAGCTGGGAGACTTTCAGGATCTGAACACTAAATATGTCAAGGTAAGCTTCTGGGGGCTCTTGCATTCCAGGGGAGGGGTTGGTTGGGGTCTGAGCACATGGGCTTGCAGGGAGGGAAAGCAGGAGGGAGAGGTGGGTTTCTACTTGGGCCCCATTGGTGAGCTGCAGCCTCCATTCCATTCCCGGAGCATATTGTCCCAGTGGGAATAGAAAAGCCAGGCCAGCAGCATGGGAGGGGGGAGGGCAGCAGGAGGCAGAGGGGCTTGGGCTGATGTAGCTGATGTAGCAGGCTCTGGGTCAAACATCGGATTCAAACCCGGCTTTGCCACTTATTAAATCATTCTGAGCTTGTTTGCCCACCTGCATGAAAGGGTTTATAAATTAGACGTGTATGTAAAACAGTTTATTATCCTGAAAAAAAATGATAGTCATTTTTTTCTTTATCATTGTCAGTATTATTGGGGTTCAGAGGAGGGGATAGCATGTGGAACCTGAGAATCGGGAAAGGAAACCCCAAGAGGAGAGGCCTTGAAAGGTGGAGATGTGGGCTTCTCTTGGGTTCCCCTTGGCCTCCCCATCCAGCTGTTCCCCATCTGCCTCCCCTAGAGCATCATCCGCGTGGTTTTCCATGACCGCCGGCTACAGTACACGGAGCACCAGCAGCTGGAAGGCTGGCGGTGGAGCCGGCCTGGGGACCGCATCCTGGACATTGGTGAGTCTCCCCGGCCAGTCCCAGCCTCAGGCACTCAGGCCACATTGGGCTTCTTTGTGGACGCCATCTGGACCCTGCCTGCAGGGTGTTTTGGTGTAGCCCTGCCCTGTGGGAGATTGCAGAGGTAACCCCACCATTGGTTCCTGCCCTTAGGGCAGTCCCTTATTTATTAAGTCCTGTGGAATTCAAGACTTCCTGTAGGGGAGTTTCAATGAAGCTTTGCAGAAAGATAGGGAACCCCCTTCTTAGAGGCCTGGCCATTTTTTCCATTTTTCCCAATGCCTGTTCCATGGGAATCACTCAAGAAAAGTTAGGAGATCATTTCTTCTTTATAATTCCATCAACCTTATTGTATATGAAACTATTAGGATAGTTATATTAGCATAGTTTTATTGTATACAAAAACTATAAAGGAGTTTGAATAAGTATCAAGGAGAAGAGTGAGCACCGTAGAGATAGATGGACAATTGAAATGGAATTTGGGGGGCTCAGGTACGGATCCCAGTCCTTTACCACCTGGAGGCCAGATGGTTTTTGGAATTCAGAAGCTGGAGTGATGGTTGGCTGTAGTATATCTGTAGCATTAGGGAACGCTTCCATCAAGTGATCAAGCACAATATTTTTATGGCAAAATAAAATGACAACTCACACAAAATAGGATAAAGACTCCTAGGAGCTCTGTGCTGATTCAGGTCTGGCTGTGCCTCGGAGGAGTTATTCAAAACCTGGCTTCCAGAACTTTTGGCATTTCAAATTGTGGTGCAGGAATTTGAGACTGTGATAAAGTATCTTTCCCCCAACATTCAAGAGAGGCTGACAGTTGCACTTTTGTGTATGTGTGTGTGTGTGTGCAGATATTCCACTGTCTGTTGGTATCTTGGACCCCAGGGCCAGCCCAACCCAGCTGAATGCAGTTGAGTTTTTGTGGGACCCTGCCAAGAGAGCCTCTGCATTCATTCAGGTGAGTGGGAGAGCTTTGGGGTCCAGCTTGTAGTTTCTCAAAACCAGCCTATCTGGAAGGGTTTTCTGTTGAAGGGAACTGAGGAGAGAAGAATCAAAAGTGCTGCTTGGAGTCCCAGAAGTAGCTGGGGACAGGACTTGGAATGTTCTAGAATTCTATTGGAATGTTCTAGAATTCTATTTGGGGTCTGCTTATGGAATGACTATAAGAGCTTTTTCAAAACCAGTATCTCCTAGCATAAATAATTGGAAGTATTTTCTCCACTAGGGTTTCTGCTATTGAATGAGTTAGTTCATTATCTGCTCCTGGTGTGGGTCCCACATTGTATTGTACAGGACCTGAGGGCAGCGGGGGAGGGTGTGGCCCGTGCCTTGTGGTAGAGTTCTGGGCTCCCTTGGGCTCTCACTTACTCTCTTCTGGGATTTCTGAGCAAGTTTTGAACCTTTTCGTTTCCCCCACCCATTTTATACATCAGAAAGCCATTGACTCAACGTCTGTTCCATGGGATTCACTCAAGAAGAGCTAGGGGATCATTTCTTTTTTATAATTACATTAATCTTATTGTATGCAAAACTATTATGATGTTATAATAACATTGTATTATCATAACATTACGACAGCATTCTAACCATAAATATGTATCTAGTGCTCTCTATGCAGCAGATACTTACTGGAAATACAGTCCTGGTTATGCTTTGAGCCTGGTCCCGGGCACCAGGATGTTAGAGAGGGGTCAGAGAAGGCTGTGCTGGATCTGTCCTGAGATCCTAGGGTTTGCCAAGGGAGGGTCCTTGGGTGAAGAGAGAGGGTGGATCCATTGAGGTCAGTGGCTTGGAGTAGTGACAAGCATTTATTTGATCACGAGGGCCCCTGAGGTCCAGGGACAGAGGTGGGGGAGGGCACATCCTGCAGGTAGAAAATGGGGGAGCTGTTGGCCTGATGGGGTGGACGTGGAGTTGGGAAAGCCAGAAGGTCGAGGCAGGCGTGCTCTCCGAGGCAGGGATGGAAACCTCCCTGGGGGAGAGACCCCCGGGAGTCTGCGCCCCCACCTGACTCCCTGCCTGGCCTTCCCCTCCCAGGTACATTGTATCAGCACAGAATTCACCCAGAGGAAGCACGGGGGCGAGAAGGGTGTGCCTTTCCGGGTGCAGATCGACACATTTAAGCAGAGTGAGAATGGAGAGTACTCGGAGCACTTACACTCGGCCAGCTGCCAGATCAAAGTGTTCAAGGTAGGACCGCCTCACCGTCTTTACCTGGCCATGGGTCACGTCTGCCTGCAGCAACGCCACAAGGTCGACCCGCGTGCTCTCAGGCCCGGCCACGAGTGGAGGGAGCGGGTGCCCCAGGGCTTCTACCTGGACCCTGAGTGGGCATGCACACGGCACGTCTGTTTGGGCCATGGGTCTGCCCCTGTCCCTTTTCTGCAGGGACCTCTTCTCACCTGTGGCACCTGCTCAGCTTTCTTCAGAAGCTTTGGGATCTCTGGATGTCCATACTTGACTATAAGATGAATTGGATTTGCATATTTCCTCTCAAGCACTTTGTAGTTGCCCATGAAGGCAGGCAGCTCCTTTCTTGGGGGCCTGGCCATTTTTCCCTCTGCAGTGGCCTTCCCTTAGAAAAAGAGGACGGGAGCCATGCTTGGTGGTGCACGCCTGTAATCCTAGTGGCTTGGTAGGATGAGGCAGGAGGATCACAAGTTTAAACCAGCCTCAGCAACTTAGTGAGGCCCTTTCTCAAAAAAAAAAAAAAAAAAGAAGAGGGGACTGGGTCGAGGCAGGAGAATTACCAAGTTGGAGGCCACCTTCAGCAACTTAGTGAAACCCTGTCTGAAAATTTAAAAATTTTACAAAAGGTTTGGGAATGTAGTTCAACGGTAGAGTGCTTGCCTAGTACACGAGAGGTCCTGGGTTCCATCCCCAGCCCTGGAGGGGGAAAAAAAAAGGTATGTCTTAGAAAAACATTTTCAGAGGCTATTTCCTATCTCTCCCCTTCTTGCTTCATCCCGTGCACTCACCTGTCACTGTTTCTCATCTAAAGTCTGCACTGATTATTTCCTGGCCATGGGAGCCAGCATTCCAGCTGCTTGTCCCACATGCCCTCAGGGAGGTGAGGGATGCTGTAAGGCCTGTGTCATTATCTAGGCATGAGGAGGGCCCTTGTCCATGCAGGCCTGCAGCCCTGTCCCCTGCACATCTAATCTGCCTGTTTGGCCCTGGTGACTCCAGCAGGGCCCTATAGAGAGAGGGTGGAGCTACCTTGTGGGGAGGAATTGCCTTGAGTCACCTGCCCGCATGCAGGCCCCATAGGCCCCTCTTCACATCCAGGTGAAATTGGAACCTGCTGAAAAAATTCCATTTCCTGGAGTTGAAAAATCCAAGAATCAGGGACTCATTAGAGAGAAAGACAGGTCTGTTGAGGCTGTTTCCAAGTACCTGGTGGCCCCTGAAGCCAGGGCTGTGTGTCATCCTGTGTAGCATCTTCCCAAGAATCTGGTACTGACTAAGCCCTTGGCAGGGATTCGTGGAACACACCAGTCCCAGAAGCTTATGGAAGAGGCCATGCTGTCTGCCCTCAGGGGACCCTGCAGCGACATGTCTGGCTCCTGAGGACTGTGGGCAGAGAGAGGACTTGTGGCCCTGGGCAGCCTCTGGATCAATCTGGATACCTTGTCATTGACCTCACCTCGGGCAGGGAGGATGGCATTTGTCTCTCCTGCTGGAGGACCAGCACCCTTCAGAAACCTGCTGAGGACCGGGAAGCCTTGGAAAGAGGGCTTCCCAGGAAGGTGGGAGGATCCCTGTTGCTAATTACCACAGATTTATTTAGTGGCTGAAAGTAAATCACATTCATTACGTGAGCCCCAGGGGTTTGAGATTGGGGGTTTGAGATTGGCCTAGGCAACACAGTGAGACCCTGTCTCCAAACAAACAAGAAAAACTTATGTGCATTGACTATCTGACAGTGTGCTGGCAGCACAGGAAGCTGACATGGGTGACACTGAGCCCATGGTGTCAGCGGGCCTGCAACTCCTTCCTGGAGGCCTCCAGGGGCCTCTCCATTCCTTAGCCTGGGGCCCTGGCTCCACCCTCAGAGTTGTTAGGAGCCATTCCTTGTCCTTAGAGTATCATCCCAATGTCCTCTGCTCCCTCCCTCCATTTTTAAGGTATTCAGGATGGGGTGGGGGGCTGAGGTTGTGGCTCAGCAGTGGAGCACTCACCTAATACGTGTGAGGCGCTGGGTTCAATCCTCAGCACCACATAAAATAAATAAATAAAAAGGTATTGTGTCCAACTACAACTAAAAATAGATATTAAATACTCAGGATCATCTTCTGTCTGTCAGTTGACTAACCATCTCAATACCGTCTGCAAACATACGCCCCCGCCTTTGCCACATAAATTAATGTCCCCACGTCCAGGGGGTTGGAGCATGTTCACCTTTGGGGACCACGACGCTGCAGGCTGCACACACCCATCCACTGGGCACTGCAGCTTCGGGGCCTTCTGCCCACTCTGGGATCTGGTCATTCTCTTCCTCCCTGGACATCTCTCTCTGTGGCTGCGTGGCTGGTGGTCTTCACCTGGCCTGCGGTTCCTTTCTATGGTGACCCCTCTTCCCTACCATCAAGCTGGGTTCCTCTATCACAGGTGGAAGCTCACCACTCATCTAGCACCTGCCTTTAATTCTGCTGTGTTCACTGTGTGTGCCCTGGGGATGAGTCACTGTGCTGGGTGGCTAGGGCAGGGGACAAGGGCTGGGTCTCTGCCCTCTCCCTGCACCACCCCCCCTCTCCAACTGGACACCTGGACCTCAGGCTCGAGGGGTCTTTCCCCTAAGCTCCTGGACCACTCACCAGGTGCTGCTTGGGGAACTGGGCTGGAAGCGTCCATATCCAAGTCTCCTAAAGGAGGCCTTAGCAGTCCCCAACAGGAGGAGCAGCTCTGGGGAGCTACAGACATCCACCTGCTCTCATTCACAGTGTTCACAGAGGAGTGCAGAAGCTAGGCTGAACTGCCCACCATCCCTCTGACCCTGTCCACCTGAAGGGTTGGAGTTGCTCTCTGTGTCTTTATGGGGTCTTGGGGTTATGGAAGAAAGGGCCAGTCCTGCTCTGATCCACGAGCTTGTGAAGGCCTCATGAGGCTGGTGCTGTGGCCCCCAAACGTTCATGCTTGGCCGTGATCTAGCTGTAATCCCTTACCTGTGGTTTCTGGGCACAATGGAGAGGCCTCCTTGAGGGACAGGGTCTTGGGGGTGGAGAGGGATGGCTAGATAGGGCTGCCACACACCTGTCACTCACTGAGTGCTTGATCTGTCCTCCATGTCCCCATCTGGCCCTGAAGGCCTGTCCTACCTCAGCATCCATCACCCTGAAGGATGCTTCCCTAAAACCCCTTGACTGGGAACCCAAAAACTGTCGCTGGAGGAAAGCACTGGAAAAAAAATCTCCAAAGGTGCCATCCAACCTGGACTTTTGGCCACCACGGGTACTTAGCAAAACTGCTCAGTTGTGCAGCTGTCATCTTTCTCCTGTTCGTTGACAAGAGTGGGAGCTTGTCAGGGAAACACGGCAGAGCAGACAGTGAGGCCAAGGAGGGCCCCGGGCTGGGGCTGCTCACCTGGGTACTCAGGTGGACCCTGAGCCTACACCTGCTAAGTCTCCAGCTCTGAGGAGCCACTCAGCCCTCATCCAGCCTCCTGATCCCTAAAGACAGGAAGGATGGTGTCTCTGAGGTCTGGCCAGCTTTTGTAAGTGGCTCAGGTTTGCTGTGCACCCAGGATCGGCAGCCTCTCCTGCTGTAACTTAGCCTTGTCGGGACAGAGGTGGTACTCTGCAGTGTGGACCCTGTGACAATATCCTGCGAGCTGAGGTCTTGGCAGAAGTGCTCAGAGTTGGAGACCAGCAGGCATGCAGTGTCCCTCTACCTCTGGACATCCCTGGGGATGCATTGCTGTATGTCCTGGCTCCCCAGGATTCCTTTCCATAAACCGCTGGGCATCAGTAACAATTTTTTTTCTAAGCACTTCCCTGGGATTTGCCGGGTGGCAGGCCCAAGATTCCATGTGTCGGAGCACAGGGAGGTCAGAGAATTTCTGTCCTGTTCAGGAGATCCTGCCCGCACTGTGTGGCCCTGGGGCAAGGCAGGGAGTGGGTAGGACTAGAGTCTTTCTCCTTAGCCTGTTTTGGAATAATTGGGCCCTGTGCTTTGTGTACTTGTAGCCCAAAGGAGCTGATCGGAAACAGAAGACCGACCGGGAGAAGATGGAGAAAAGAACAGCTCAGGAGAAGGAGAAGTACCAGCCGTCCTACGAAACCACCATTCTCACAGAGGTGAGCCCAGGCCGGGCACAGACTTTTCCAGGGCCCTCTGCCAGGAACATGGCTGTGGTTCAGTCTTGGAAGATTTCCCACCTGGGTGAGAGCTTCACTGGAGCCCGTTCAGTTGTGGCGTGTGCCCTGTGGGACTCGTGTTCATCTGATAAGACCCAGAGGTTGGGGATACATTCCAGAAACCACTGTGAGCTCTCTGCTGCCTTGGAATGCATTTGCAGTAGTGGGGGACGTTTTTGTTATTTTGAAGATGTGCTTTATTACACAGCTCAAAATCCAAAAGTTTTCAACCCAAAAAAAGCCCTCCTGTGGCTGCCCTGGCCTCTCAGCTTCTCAGTCCAGGGCAGCTGGTATGACTGGTCCCAGATGTATTGACCTGACCTTCTCTGTAGGTAGGCCAGTGTGCACACACCTTGGCCCCACTCCTGCGTCTGCACACCAACAGAGTGTGACACTCTATTCTGCACCATGCTTTTTTTTTTTTTTTTTTTTTTTAACAGCGTATTTGACATCTGATCCTATTCTTTCGAAGTTCCTTACCTGGCCATGTGTCATATACATGTGATGGTTTGTTGGTGCAGAGATGGTTCTTTCCGGATTCTGTCATTCAGATGGGGGTGCAGCTGGTACCTGGCAGGTGCAGGTTTGCATGTGGGAACTATGTCTGTAGGGTTCCATTCTCAGTGGGGTCAGATTGCTTAGCACTGGCTTCTGTGGGGGGGGGGGGGGTCGGGATGGGACAGGGCCTTGTGCATGCGGGGCAAGTGTTCTACCACTGAGCTACAGCCCCAGCCCTTTGTTATCTTATTATTAAACAACCATTCTACAGTCAGACCAACTAACTGGCACTGGTGTTTGTTCATTGACTAATTGGGTTTACTACCAGGGCATGTATAAGACCCATGTTGGCCATGGGGCGAGGGGTTTGAGGCTGTGTTAGGGTGGGGCTTGGGCACAGAATGTCTAAGAAAAGGGTGCCGGGTCCTGCTGTTCTTACATTCCTATGTGTATAATAAGCCACATGTAGAAGAGTGTTTGCAATAAGACAGTGTGAAAGCTAATGTAGTGTTAGGTGATGCACACCCATAGTAATCTCAGCAACTTGGGAGGCTGAGTTAGGAGGACTGCAAGTTTTAGGCCAGCCATGACAATTGATGGCAAGACCCTGTCTCAAAGTAAAAAATTAAAATGGGCTGGGGATGTGGCCCAGTGGTTAAGTACCCCTGAGTTTAATCCCTGGTCCCAAAATTAAAAAAATAAAAATAAAAGGGAGTAGGGATGTAACTCAGTGGCAGAGAGTGCCCCTGGGTCAATCTTGGGTATCACCCCCCCCCCCAAAAAAAAAATGCATGCGGCTCACACACCCGGGTACTATCATTGGGTACTGTCATTTCGTCTGATTAAGGACAATCCTCAGCTGGGGAGCATTGCCACCAAGACCACACGGTCCCACCCTCAGCCAGCAAAGAAGTGTCGGGACCTGAGGACTCCATTTTCTGTCTTTAGGACTTGGACCCTTTTCTTCCCATGCCTGGTGGCTTTCTGTGCTAGTGACACTGCTGGGAATGTCCCCCCACCTAGTGATGCTTTTCTCTGCCTGACTTCTTTGCTTCTCTTCTGGCGTCCCAGCAGAGGTGAGGTGCTGGTGAGCCTCCTGCTGCATCTCCAGTGCCCCCTCCGCAGTGCTGGAGAGCCCACTCAGTGGGCCATGACCTTGGGAGGTGCCAGCACCCCTTGTATCAGCTCATCGACTTTCCTTCTCAGGCCGCAGGATTTAGCACCAACAAATTCCAGCCCATACGCACAACAGTTAAATATTTACCAACCCTTGGATTGGGTGGGTGATAGTAAATCTTCAGGAATGCTTCAAACCAGCCCTCTCCAAGGTGAAGTCACTGCCACCAAAGGAGGAAACACACACTTTGTCCTCTCAGTTGGACAGGCAAAGCCTGGAGGTCTTGACTTTCTTTTAGGAGGCTTCCGTGTGTGTTTGGTTTTGGCTTCTGCAGTTCAGGTTTCTTGAGGGCAAGGATCAGATCTTTTGTGTTTCTGTGTCTCCCAGAGCCTCTAGCAGGATGCCTAAAACACAATAAACACACACGGAGCTGCGTTATGGGGAGCTGGCCTTCATAGATTGTGCAAGTGCCTCTTCTGCCTGCCTCGGCAGGATTTCTTACTTCAAACAGCATGGATTTCAGGACTGAATTTTATTGTTTATTTTTCCTTTGGAAGTTGCCTTAGCTTCTTATGCATTCACACACGTATCTGTACTAGGAAAAAAGTGTTTCTGATTTTCCTCCTTCCTTGTTGGCTCAAGATCACATGACTGATCCCAGAGGCTAGGGAGGCTGAGGCAGGAGGATCACGAGTTCAAAGCCAGCTTCAGCAACTTAGCGAGGTCCTAAGCAACTTAACGAGACCCTGTCTCTAAATAAAATAAAATAAGGGCTGGGGATGTGGCTCAGTGTTTAAGTGCCCCTGGGTTCAATCCCTGGTACCCACCCACCCGCCAAAAAAGAAAAAATTGATCACTGTGATGTTTACCTCTGGTGGTTTGATTACTAGGAAGCTTGATGAGATACCTTTCATAGTTTTCTTGCTCTGAGGATGACTTCCGGACTGTTAGGTCTGCTTGCCATGTTTGGTATCCCCAGTATGACCACAGTAACCTGCTTGACCATGGCCCATTATGGGTACCCAGAAAACATGGGGTGTGTGTTTATGGGTCAGTGTCTCATGTGTTGGTGTTGATGGGGTGCTTGGAAGGGCCTGAGGAGCATGGGCTGGTGCCTCTGCAGCTTCCAGCTCATCCTGAGGACTGCTGACCTCCATTCACCTGGCCCTGTCTCTCCTCCCACAGTGCTCTCCGTGGCCTGATGTGGCTTACCAGGTGAACAGCGCCCCGTCCCCAAGCTACAATGGCTCTCCCAACAGCTTTGGCCTCGGTGAAGGGTATGTCCCACCTTTCTCTCTGTGGGTCCCCAGAATGAAGATGGGTATAGGTTCCTTTCTTGATCTCTTCTCCTTTCCCTAGCCTGGTGTCTGCCTGGGCTTCACCATGGTCAGATGGGTTGTGATAGCCTCATGGGATGGCCTCAGGTGCCCTTGGGGGCAGAATGACCCTTTCAGAGCTTCCCAATTGAGTGTTGGATGGCCCTGGCGACAAGGAGGGTCCTTCCTGGCTCTTTGTTCAGCTGTAGCCACTGACTGGAGCGGGTCCAGCGGATCCTCTGCACCCCTAGTTTCAGGCTTCATAGGACTGAAGCTGGTCTTACCACCGCCTGCCTGGCTCTGTCAAGGGACAGGCAACATGGCCAGGGATGTGGTGACAGGGACAGTGCAGGACTATAGGCCCAGGCAACACTGAGATGGCTCTGTGGGTTCTTTCCAGGGCTGGAGGTGGAGGCAGAGAGAAGGCCCAGCCAGGTGGGTTTAAGAAGGGAGTGCAGAACCCACCAGCGCTTTAGAGCCCCTGCTTAGCAGACAGAGAACTTTCTGATCAAACAGTGAGGTTGTCCATGACATTGATTTTACCAAAATAAAGCACCCTCCACGAACAGCACAGCTGTTTCTTCCCAAGTCTCCCATTAAAGAAGGGCATGTGCCACCCTACTGGGAAAGCCTGGCGTGTGCTGTGGGGCCTTGATTCCCTGCAGCCCCCCCCCCCCCCCCCCCCCCGCCGTGGTGTACAGGGAAGACCTAGTGGATGACTTAGGTTCTTAGTTACTGGGAGACCTGGGCCTGGGTCCCCTTGGTCGGCCTGCTCTGCCCTTGTGCTGGGGCTTAGGGGGGAAGCCCCCAAGTGAGAGGGGATTCTGATAAGACCCACAGAGGTCCACTCACAGGGGCCTTGGTGATGCTGCTGACTGCTCAGGGTGGAGGTTCCATGATCCCTGGGGGGCAGCGTAGCCCATCAGAACCTCTGTTCTGACAGATGGGTTCGAACCTAACTTTCTGCTCTGATCCGGAAAATTCTTCTTTTCTTTCTTTTCTCTCTCCCTCCCTCCCTCCCTCCCCCTCTCCCTCCTCCTCCCTCCCCAGTGCTGGGGGTCTTGTGCATGCCGGGCCAGTGTTCTACCACTGAGCCACACCCTGTGCCCCTGGCTCAGGGAATTCTTGAGTCATTTCATTTAAAACAAGGCCCATCCGTGTCAGGACCTCAGCACAGGCCAGGTGATGGGACCCTGGTCCCTCCCCACCCCCTCCCTCCTCATGGCCTCTCCATTTTCCGTTGCAGGAACAGCTCTCCAACCCACCCGGTGGAGACCCTGCCCATGGGCACTGATGTAAGTGTACTCGGGGCTCTCAGGCTGGGGGTCCCTTTGTGGGGCCTGAGCGGCCATCTGAAGGTCCCCCTCTCCCGTAGCACCTGCTCCCGTCGGCCACTATCCAGGACGCCCAGCAGTGGCTGCACCGCAATCGGTTCTCGCAGTTCTGCCGGCTCTTCGCCAGCTTCTCAGGTGAGCAGCTCCACCCGGAGCCTGAGGACCCCCAGGTGTCTGGGAAGCATGTAGCCAGGCCAGCCGCCATCCAGGACCTGTCCCGGGCCCTGCAGGGCCTGGGCTGTGTCTGTCTGGGAGATGCACGCTAACATGGGTCCCTTCTCTCTCACGTGTGACCTTGGGTCAGAGGCTAGGGAGATGCCATGCTCCCCACATGCGATGCTGCTCCAGGAGGGTTCTAGTGACACGTGACTTCAGGGTTCTCTTCCGGTAACTTTACCTAGATGTCCTCATCTGCTGGGGTGTGTGGGCTCTGGCCTGCCCAGGAGGAGTCCGCTTAGCCAAGCAGGGTGCTGTGTGCTTGGTCAGTCTTCTCTGTACTTTTCTTACCAAAATTCTGCTGTCTTGAGCCATGACCTGGGATTTGCAGGTGAAGATATAGGTGACATTAGGGAAGCTGGTTTGTCCTTCTTTAAAAGGTTTTTGAAGGCCCAGCTGGTGGCTCTCAGGCAGGAATCCTGAGCCAGATGCTGTGGATTACAAAGGTGAACCGAGCAGAGAGCCTTGCCACTGAACAGGGTCCATTCCAGAGTGACACGGAGTAGGTCTGGCCCTAGCCAGAGCGGTGGCTTCCAAGGCCATCTGTGGCAGTGGAAGAGAAATGGCATCCGCTCATCTTTCAGTTCAGTGTCCCTAAGAGCCTTCTTGATGTTCGAGGCAGAGGGTGCAAGGAAGATCAGACAGAGACCCTGTCTTCAGGGTTGGCAGCTTTGAGTCAGTGCAGATCTGTGAACCACCTGCCCACGTCGTGCAGCGTGATACATCTGTGCTGGGGTAGGGCTGGTCACCAATGGACCTTCACGTGGGCTGGGCGGGGAAAGAGAGGGGACATAGAGGCTGGACATAGAGGCCGGACAGAACCAAGTGGGCACTGGGGGGGGCGGGGTTCCAAGCAGAGAAAGTGCAGAGACTGCAGGGTGGGTACTTCCTGGCGTGGCCATACAGAGGACCTGGGTGACTGGTACAGAGTGGACTTGGGGAGGCCCTGAGGTCCGAGGGGTACAGGCAGGCTAGGCCTCTGGAAGAATAGTAGGAGGACTTTGGCTTTTACTCCTAGTGGAAAGGAAGCCATTATGCCAAGAGTGTCTGATCAGGAGACAAGGGATGGGAATTTTGGCTTCTAGTATACATGTCCCTTTGAAAGTCTGGTTGGGCGGTGGGATCTAGGGGAACCCTTGCCTTTGAGGAGGGTACATCCCTCATGCCGTGCTAGCTGTCTTACTAACCTGCCAGTGTCTGTCCCCATGAGACACTTGTCTTCATGTGTGCCTTTAAATGTGGGGGTGGACACCACACTTGGACATTACCTGCCAGAGCCAGACCTGCACGCCCACCACCCAGCGGACACGCCACATGCATTGACCAAAGACACGTAGAAAAGTGTTTCATGAGCCTATTCCTAGCAGCCCCAAGCTGCAAGCACCCCAAAGCCCATCCACAGAGAGTGGATACATGAATTATGGTATAGTCATGCAATAAACTGCATCATCGTGGACACCAAAAAAAATCTCTGTGTTAAACTCAAATGAGATCTGAACATGACTTGGTGAGGGAAGCCTGCGCTAGAAAAGTACCCTGTGGTTCAATTCCATTTCCATGAACTTCAAAGAACAAGCAAAACTGGGTAAGAAGTCAGGGTAGGGGTTCCCCAGTGGTAGGGGAGTGGCTGTCACAAGACTGTGGGTGGCTGGTAATGTTCTGCCCCTTGGTCTGTGGCTGTGTTCAGAATGTCAACCTCCAGTGAGCTGAATACTAATACACAGAGACATGCACATATAATCCATGCCGACATCCTGATAAGATCTGAGCATGTAGATTAATGTTCATAAAAAGTACAGAGGGAGGGGGCAGGCAGGCCTCAGCGGGCAGGACCTGTTGGCCTCCCTTCTGTGCTCTTTTGTGAGCACCAGCCTTTTGCTTCATCTCCTGTGCTGTGATCTTGTTTGGCTCTTTGCTGTTTCTCTCTGTGGAATGTCGGGTGCCCACCAGGGGAGAGGCCAGCTCTTCTTCACCCGCCAGCCTCAGTGTGGAGTCTGCAGGCGCTCAGAGATGGAGCCCTCCCTCTGTGACCCACATAACGGGCAGCCCATTTCCCTGCCCAGGTGCCGACCTGCTGAAGATGTCCAGAGATGATCTGGTCCAGATCTGTGGCCCTGCAGATGGGATCCGCCTCTTCAACGCCATCAAAGGCAGGTGGGTGTTGGGAACCCAGTTGGAGGCTGGGGCTCAGCCAGGTGTGTCAGGAAAAGCCCCTCTTTTAGAGGGCTTTTAGACTGCACAGATAGTCCAGCTAGTGGGAAAAGGGGCGGGAGGGACCTTCCTACAGTGTGGGGACAAATGCAGGAGGAGGTGCTGGGGGAAGGGCAGGGGAGTGACACACAGTTGGCCACAGCAGTTCCTGCCTGGTGGCCCTTCATTCTTCTCCGTTTGACTCCAGCCTCTGGATCCCGGCCCTTGGCCACTTCCTGGATTCTGGGATGTTTGCATGGCCCTGGCTCAGAGCTATGTCCCTCTGAGGGGCCATGGACTAGGGCAGGGCCAACACCATTGCCACCTACAGTTTCCAGGGAACACTCCAAAGCAGCACTTTCCCAAAGAACTTTCTCCCACATTCAGAATGTTCTACAGTGGTACTGACCAGTCCAGGAGCTGCTGGCCCTGTGGGGCCCTGGAGCACTGACCTAATGAGACCGTCAAACTTAATTTCAACTTTATTTAACTTTAGTGAACTTTATTTGTTTTTCCTGGTGCCAGATAGCAAACCTAAGGCCTCACGCTGTACCACTGTCTCCAAGGTCTCCGCTGAAAATCTCCAAGGCAATCTGTATCCTTACCACCATCTTTTCTTCCTCCAAGTCCTTCCTGCTGCAGGTTTCACTCCATGTTCTAGAACGTTCTAGACCACTGGAGTTTGGTCGGTCATATGTGCTATTTATTTCTCCTCCTCCTCTCAGGAATGTGAGGCCAAAGATGACCATTTATGTCTGTCAGGAGATGGAGCAGAACCGGGTACCTTTGCAACAGAAACGGGACGGCAGTGGGGACAGCAGCCTCTGTGGTGAGTTGTGGGGACCACAGCCGGGACCCAGATACTCAGGCCCTGCAGCCTGGCTTCCAAGCCCAAGCCCAAGCCCAGGGCTCGGGAGGTCGGGTGGTCCCAGGGCTTGGCTTCATGGAGGGGCAGAGTTGGGACTTGCACTCACGGTTGCTCCTGCTAGAGCCTCTTGTCTCCCCAGAGTGCTCCCCGAGTGACTCCTGAGGAGGCTGTGACGGTCCCTCCTGGGCCCCACTCGCTGTCCTGCCTCTGAGCAATCCTTGGGGCCATGTCCAGCTGGGGCAGCAAAGGCCACCGACAGAAGGTTGTGATGAGTGGTGTCAGCCTGCTAAATTGAGAAAAAAAATTTCTTTAATTTTCTTAAATTAAAAAAAAATGCAGTACCATTAGAATTTGGTTCTAAAAATCTGAGTCTCAGGAAGGAGATGTGAGGTTCTTACCTGGTAGGTCAGTCCTGGAAGGGACGACAGGCAGTCATCCCATTCCCTAGGGAGGATCTGACAGTGGCTTTGCCTCTTTGAAATCTGGGGAAAGCCATCTGTTGTGTGGCTGTAACCCTAGAGCCTGTGCCACCCTTGCTGGGAGCCGCTTCTGTGTGTGCTTTATGAAACATTGAGCCTTTGATCAGGTCTTCTGAACAAGTGCTCCTTAGTTAAAGGAGAACTTTGGGCTGGATGCAGTGGCTCTCTGGGAGCCCAGGATAGGTGGATTGCAAGTGCAAGGACAGCTGTGTAGTGAGATCCCGTCTCAAAATATAAAGGGCTGGGATACAGCGCAATGGTAGAGTGCACCTGGATTCAAACCCCCCACTACTGCAAAATCAAGAGAGAAAGTATGAAAAAAGTGAAGGAAACGCACATATAATCCAATTGTGTTTACTTTTGAGGAACTCAAGGCTCCTTAAAGTTGAATAATCTACCCCAGGTTGTCCCTGGAGTTTGCACCAGTGACACAGGTCAGAATCACCTCATGCTCCTCCAGCCATCACCCCCAATTGAATGTCAGTGGGTGTTGAGTGAGTCCAGGAGACTCTCCATTTCAGGAGACTGAAACAGTGAGCGGGAGCCAGGACCCACATGTTCACCTGTTGATGGATCGCACCTGTGCTCTTAGCTATGGCTTCCTGGCAGGTGCCCATCACTCTGGGAACGAGCATCCTTACAAATGAGTCAATGATTTCTCGGGATGGGGTAGAGAGTCATAGGCAGGCGCATGCTAATTTAACAACCATTTAAAAAGAAGGCACTTGCTCCTCCTGCTCCAGTATACCACGCCATCTTCCTGGAAGAGCTCACCACCCTGGAGCTGATTGAGAAGATCGCCAACCTGTACAGCATCCCCCCCCAGCACATCCACCGCGTCTACCGGCAAGGCCCCACCGGCATCCACGTGGTGGTGAGCAACGAGGTGAGGGCTGCTGCTTAACCTAGCCCTGGTGGCTGGGCTTCGGACTTCCAGGAGGAGCCCCCAAACCATGAATGTCTCCCACGGGGATGGCAGGGATTGCGGGTGGCAGACAGGTTTCATCTGCATGCCACCTGCTCTCAGCTGCACTGGGGACAGCTCTGTCCATGTCTGGGTCTTAATGGCTGTTGGTAGCACCCTACTCGAGCCTTGCTCTGCAGGTCTCCCAACGTGGGTGGCAGCCCCCAGAGCAAGCCCCAGGAGAGGGGAATGGGATTTGGGGTTGGGTGAGGGAGCAGAGTTGGCTTATGGGAGATGAGAGCAAAAGTCTCTGCTAAGGGATAAAGCTGCCTTGGCTTCCCTGGGTCTGTCCCCTGCAAAGAGGCTTGTGCCACAGAGGTGAGCTCAGGTATGGAATAGGGTCCTTTTTGAGCTGTGGCCCCTGATGCCTGGAGAAGGGGAGTCTTCAACAGGTTGCTGACAGTCTAGGCATCCTTGCACATTATAGAACTAACTGATGGGTTTAAGCTCACTGTATCCTGCTCCAGCCTTCTGAATAAATTCTTTTTTTTGTGGTACTTGTGATTGAGCCCAGTGGTGCTCTACTACTGGACTACAACCCCAGCCTTTCATTTTTTTTTTGAGAGAGAATCTTGCAGGGCTGGGGGTATGGCTCAGTTGGTAGAGTGCTTGCCTTGCATGCACAAGGCCCTGGGCTCAATCTCAAGCACAAAAAATAGTGGGGTCAGAGAGAATCTTGCTAAGTTGCTGAGGCTGGCCTGGAACTTATGATCCTCTTGCCTTAGCCTCCTGAGCTGCTGGGATTGTAAACGTGCACTACCATGCCCAGCTGCTTCTAAATAGTAGTCACAAGGGGCAGCGTGTGTGGAGTGTTGTGTTAATCATCTTTCCTTCCCTATAGCCAATACCAAGGTAGCCAGGAAGTAAAGGGAGAGAAAGAGGAGGCACTGGGTCCCAATATCCCCTTCAAGGACCCTCTCCCCCAATAACCTAACTTCCTCCCATTAGGCCCCACCTCTCAATAGAGCCACAGGCTTCAGATCAAATTTTCAACACATGGACCTTTGGGGACATTCAAGATCCAAACTCTAGCAAGTGCTTACTGTACTGGGGCTACTGTTGTAAGGGCCCCATGTAGTGGCTCATTGAACCCTGGCAGCCTCCCTGTGAAGTGGGTGCTATCATCGAACTCCATAGATAGGAAACCGAGCACTCAGAGATAAATGGCACCAGGTGGCACAGGTGGAGCTATGGTGGGAGCCCAAGTAACAGTTGCAGAGTCTGAGCTGTGAGCCAGCAGTCTCCAGCCTCCTGAAAGAAGAGCTGCATCGGTGGGAGCCCGGGTGGGACCTTGAGCCCCTGGCTCAGCCCCCAGAAGACCCAAGCCAATTCCAGGAACTCTGAGCCCCTGTTTAGAGGATTATAGAGGAAACCAAGTACTGGAATAGTGATTGGGGAAAGGAGAGAAAATGTGGACTTGGAAATTGGACTGGTCCCTACTGCCTCCCAGTCGCTGAGCGACCTCGGGGGAATTTATGTGAACTCTTTAGCCTCAGTTTCTGCCTGTGTAGAATCACACTCACCAGCCAGGCTGTGGTGAGGATGGAACGAGAAAACAGGGTAGGACCAGGAGACACCAGATAAGCCGGGGACCTTCTGATTGACCCTGTTCATAGGCAATATAGAAAATGTCCTTAAATCTTCTGGACAAAGTTGTCAGTAATGTCCTGTTCCTATTTTTTGTACCCATTTTATAGATAAGGAAAACAAAGCCCAGAGTTCCTGATCTGAGAGCTTTTTTGAGAATAGTCAGGAAGGTAGAAGTGCCCTGAGCAGTGGGCAGTTGTCCTGGCATGGAAGGTGCCTCACTCTGTATTTCAGAAGGCAAGAGTGTGAGGAGTCCTTGCAATTTCATGGGTCTCCGAGGAAGTTCTTCCCTGGCTCGCCCCATGCCCTTAAGACCAGGCAGTTAAGCAAGTGAAGCAGAGAACAGGACTCAAATGCCACCTTGGCTAAGTAGGTGATTCTTATTCCCCAAAGTCTCCTTGCTTCTTAACCCTGAATCAATTGGAAACCCCTGGTTCTTAATTGCCCAGAGCGCTGGAGGCGACCTGGTCAGCCGCGGCGCCGGCCCCCCGGCCCCGGGGTGTAAGGGTGCTTAATTAAACAGGAGAGTTACTTATTAAGCCCATGTGGGCTCTGTTTAGGGCTTTGCATACCCAGGTGGCTGGCTTGCCAAGAGTCCTAGAATGGAGCAGGCGGCAGTATAGAATAAATGTACTTCACGCACCATTAGACCCTGCAGGGAGGGGCAGGGGTCGGCAGGAGGATGGATTTGCAAGATTTGAGGCAATAATCCAGAGCAGGTGATAAAATGTGTATGCATTTTTTTTTAAATTTAGACAGGGGCTTTGCTATCTTGTTGGGGTGTGTGCGTTGTGTGCGTGTTCATATGTGTGTGTATATTAAGATTTAAATGTATATTGTGAGATACGGCACACATATGCAGAGAGTACATGAGACTTAATTGTGCTGCTTAATAAGTCCTCCTGTCTCTGTACTTAGGTTACTAGAAGATTACATTACAAGTGCCTTTGTGGCTCATGTCTACCCCTCACCTGCTAGTATGAGTTTTATATTAATCACTCCCTTGTTCCTCCTTAACGTATTATTTTTTTGCCAATTTTAAAACTGTATAAATGGAATAATAGTGTAGTCTTCTCTGACTCTTTTTTCGTTCTGCATTATATCCCTGAGATTCACGCAAGTTGAGGGGCATTGCTGGAGGTCATGGAGCTGCTGAGCAGCATATGTGATAGATCCCAGTTGGTTTGCTATTGGCTGATGTCAGGATTGGCCTTAATTTTGTGTTATTAGAGGCAGCTCGAGTATAAACATTCTTAATGCATGTTTTTGTGTACATACTTGGGAGTTCATCTAGGGAACATGCCTGGTAGGAGGACACTATGGTCATTTCCACTAGGTCACATGAATGGTTTTCTGAAGGTTTATACCCCTACCCATAGCAGATGCCATTGTTCTGTGCGCGCGCGTACACACACACACACACACACACACACACACACACACACACGAGATTGAATCCTGGGATCTCTACCCCAGCCCTTTCATATTTGCATTTTTGAGACAGGGCCTCAGCCTTGCAGTCCTCCTGCCTCAGCCTCCCTCAGTAACTGAGATTACAGGTGTGGGCCACCGTGCCTGGCTCTGGTTGACATTTATAATCATCATAACAGCCCTGCTTTACAGATAGGGAACAGGAAGAGAGAAAGACTTGGCCAAGGTCACTGGGGAGCTAATCACAATAAGAACTCCAGAGAAATGTCTCTTGAGTCCTGGTTAGTTTCCTGCCATATCTGCAGACCCAGGGAATGGCAATCTCCCTTTATATTTTGTTCTTCTAGACCACTCATACATAGCTCCTACTCATTATCAAAAGTTTCTTTTCTTTTTAAAAGATTTTTACAGTCGTGGGCCACTAAAACAACAGGATGCCTTCTGAGAAACGCTTTGTTAGGCGATTTCATCATGATGTGAGCATCCTAGGTGGCTCAGTTGTGAGCATCCACACAAGCAAAGATGATGTTTGTGGATCACCGTACACAGGCTCTTGATGCAACAAAATAATGCAGTGAACACAAGCTGTCTGCAGCAGCTGCTGGCATAACAGCAGTCAGGTTTTCTTTTTTTTTTTTTTAAAAGAGAGAGAGAGAGAATCTTTTTGTAGATGGACACAACACATGCCTTTATTTTTATATGGTGCTGAGAATCAAACCCGGGTCCCGCCCATGCTAAGTGAGCACTCTACTGCTGAGCCACAATCCCAGCCCCAGCCCTAGGATTCTGTTTTACAGCAAATGTTTTTTTGATAAGTAGAAGTACAATAATAACAACAAAAAGTATTGTATAGTAAATACCTAAACCAGTAACGTAATCATTTATTATCACCATCCAGTATTATGTGCTGTATATAATTGCATAGTCTCTACTGATAGTGCAGTAGGTTGTTGACCCCAACATCACCACAAACACACGAGTAATTGTTTTGCCACTACATTGCTGTGGCACCACTCGGTCCTAGGAACTCAGGAATGTTTTGGCTCCATTATAATCTTATGACCCCAGCGCATCATGCATGTGGCCCACTGTTGATGGAAACATGGTTGTGCAGTGCATGGCTGTGTTTAGTTTTTTAATCTGTTGCCATTATACACATGCTCCTCCCTGTAGTGAGTATGTTGTAGAGATCGGAAGACCCAGTAACTCGGAGAAAGCAAAACAAGAGCAAAGAAATCAGACCCACATGAAATGGTCCTATCTTGTGGACAGAGTTCACGTTGATCTGTATCATGACCCTCTCAGTGATCGTCCCAACATCACCATGTGCCTGTGTTTGTGTAGACACAGTGGTGAAGTCATTTCTACATCGGTGAGTGGCTGGACTCCGTGTCACCCAGCCATTTTTTGGTATGTGCTCATCATTGAGGGAGCATATTCTCTGTTTTGCCTCACAGATGGTGCAGAATTTTCAAGATGAGTCTTGTTTTATCCTCAGCACATTAAAAGGTAAAGCCCCTCCCACCTTGTTTAGTTCAAGCCCATTGTCTGCATCTCTGGGAGCGGGGAGCACAGGGCAAGGGAGAGCTGGCTGGATGGGTGGGGCCTGTTGCACAGCACCCCTCCAGAGGGTGGCTACCTGCAGCGGCCTTCAGCAAGAAGCAACACAATCTTCTTTGGGAACAAGAAGCAATACGGACTTCTTCTTCTGACCCTGCAAGGTCAGAACTAGTGATATTGGCTTCCAAGTCACTTTTGAAGGGGAAATTGGGGGTCAGGCAAGTTGTTCTCCATGGAGTCAATGCTAAGTAGAAGCAAGATGTGTTTCAGTTTATTCATGATGAAGTCTGCAGGAAACCCAAGTATAGAACGTGGTGGTAGGCAGAATGGGTCTGGATCTGGAGGGGCAGCATGAGGATCCACCTGAGCCAGATGTCCTGAGAGGACATCAGCATGCCCACTGCCTGCTGAGAGAAAGCCTGTGTGCCAAGAGCATGCATTTATTCACAAAAGGCAGAGAAAGGTGTGCCGTGGCTTTCCTTAGGTCTGGGAGGGTAAGTGGATGGGCTATGTCAGAACAGAAGCCCTCTGGCTGGGTCATGGACCCTCATCTATGGTGACGCCACTTCCCCACTTGTTCTGTGGATCTAGCCTGTGTCAAAATATCTGAGATATCAACTTAAGGAAGAGTTTATTTGGCTCACAGTTTTGAATGCTCTGGTCCATGGCTGGCTGATCCTTTTGCTCTTGGGTCTGTGGGAGCACACGGTGGTGGTAGTGTGTGGCAGAGGAAGCCCCTCACCCATGTTATGTGGGAAGCAGAGAGAGAGGAGGGGGAGGGGCTAGGGCCCTATCAGCTCCTTCAAGGACACGCCCCCCACTGACATAGCTCCTCTCCACTGTTAGGTCCCACCACCTCGCAATAGTGTCATAGGCCCAAGCCTCCCACACATGGTCCTTTGGGGAACAGTTAAGGTGCAGAATGTAGCACAGCCAATGAGAGCCTGTGGGCTTTGGAACCATGAGCCTCCATGGACGTAGGTGCTTTTGTCCTCAGATCTAGGGCTAAGTTTGAAAGGCCCATTGCCAAAAAAAGAAACTCGACAACATACATGCCAAGGCATGTGCTAAAATCCTTGCTTTATGTGACACTTGGCTTTCTGTGACCTTGTTTTGGTGGTCTCTGCTGGTACCCTTGCCCTTCGGGACTCCCAGGTAATACAGCACTGACCCTTTCCTTACTGTGAAATATGCCTGGTGTTCCTCTCTTGCAGCCGAGAGCAATGATGGCTACCACATCATCCTGAAGTGTGGACTCTGAGCCAAAGCAGGACACTCACCTGCTCCCAGCCCCACGGACCCCCTGCGATGTTGAAATGGCACCACTGTCAGCTCCAGTCTCACCGGAAAATCTGAGGCTAGGAGGGACCCTGCCCAGTCTATGAAAGCTACAGACCACGAACTAGCAGAAACCAGTGGACACAAAACCTGGCATGCAGAGAGCCGGTGGCCCCTCACTTTCCTTTCCTCTTGGCCTCGAGCTTTTGAATGGTTCCTTGGGCTTTTTCTCAACCTTGATATTCTAAAAAGGCAAGCCGGCGGGGGGCACCTTCTCTGAAAACCCAGGCCTCTTAGTTGGAGGCTCACTGAGGGTCTTGGTGCCACCTGTATGGATCCCTTATGGCCACTCTCCTGACCCCCAGAGAAAGCTCTTGCTACCTGTATGTTCTCCTCTCTCTGTCTACGTGTATGTTTCCTTTATCAGTCACCCCGGTGGCATCTGCCTTCCCTGTTCTTGGGTGAATTGTTGGGAGAGGGTTTATTCTCTGCCTTCTGCCTCTTTCACCTTCTCCTTGTTTCTAAGTGTTGCAGCAAAGCCCAGAGGGAGATGTGCTCATGTCTGTGTGGGTACAATAGTCCCTACAGTGTATGTGTATGGCCAGTCCTACAGATGCTAATGCCGAGGCCTGTCTGTGGTCTGGAGGTGGGCACGGTGGAATAGAATGACTCTTCCCAGGTAGATCTTTAGGAGTGGGAAGGAATGAGAACCCAATAATTCCTCTTTTTGCTACTTTGGTATAATTCTGTTTCCTAAGCAATCATGGGTAAGGAGGTCTAGGAAATTATCATTCTATTATATCATCAGAAGACCTTGATCATCAAAATACCAGGACCTATAGGATGCACTGGCAAAATCCCATTGAGAGAAGACCTTGTTTGACCAGTGCTCACTTTTTCATGTTTCATAAGGATGATGTATTTTCTGTGAGGGCCCCTTCATTTTTGTCCTTTTTCATTTGTAAGGGGGTATGTTTAGGAAAGCAACATTGGAATGGTTGGATCATCTTAAATATGGGAGGTTTGAATATCAGTAACTATGGTAGAGTCAGGATTTAGTCTTTGTCTTTCTTCTATGCTTGTGATCTATACTGACCCAGGGCTTCACCTCTGAGAATTTAGGCTCATCTTCCAAACCATGGTGAACCCTGTGCCTATCAGAGTAGCCTATTACAGCTTTTGAAATGGAAATTTTGTGGAATATTGGAAGTAATGGAAAAATTGAGTAATGGAAATTTTGTAGAATTTTGTGCTAGGTTCAAAGATTGTCAGAACCGGGCAGATGATGTTTTACAGATCAGGAAATTGAGACCCAGAAGGGCAAAGCCACTTGTGTGATATCACACAGTGATAGAGAAATGAGACACTTCTGTAGCTATACAGTAGCTATGCTATTCCTATAGAGTGAAAGGGGTTCCTGATTCGTTTTCTAGGGGAAAGAGAAGAGTGAGTTAACAGAATTATTGAAATACCATTCACATACCATATAGTTTACCCATTTATAGTGATTCATAAAATTACAATCAGTTGTTTAGTATTTTATCACCCCCCAAAGAAATCCTATGGTCTTAGGCTATCACTGCTCCCCAACTTCCCCACACCAGAGAAACCATGACTGTCCTTTTCTATATAGATTGACCTACTGGATATTCTATACATATAGAATCATATAATATGATCTTTTGTGACTGGATTCTCTCACTTGCATAATTCTTTCTAGGGTCATTCATGTTGAGCACATATTAGTACTCTTTTTTTTTTTTTGCAGGACTGGGGATCAAACCCTCGGCCTTATACCTACTAGACAAGTGCTCCACCGAGCTACACCCACCCCAGTCCATTACTTCCTTACTTTCTATTGCTGAATAATTTTCCAATGTATGTATATTACTGCATCCATCCGTTGATGGAAATTTGGAATGTTTTGGATTTTGGGCTAATATGAGTAATGCTGCTATGAACATATTTGTATAAGTTTTTATGTGGACATGCATTTCTTGGGGGAAATTTACATAGGAGTAGAGTTGCTGGGTCATAATAGTAACTGTGTTAAATTTTTTGAGCAACTGCCAGGCAGCTGGACCATTTCACATTCCCACCTGCCATGTATGAGGGTTCCGGTTTCTCCATATTCTCACCAACACTTGCTATGATGTCTTTTTTATTATGATATCAGAGTAGGCATGAAGTGGTACCTCATCCTGAATTTGATTTCCATTTTCCTGATGGTTAATGATGTGGAGAATTTTTTCATGTGCTTATTGGTCATTTGTATATCTTCTTCAGAAAAATGCCTATTTAGAGCCTTTGCCCATTATTAACTTAGGTTGTCTTTTTATTATCAGGTTGTATGAGTTATTGGTATATTCTAGATGCAGGTCCTTTATCAGATACAAGATTTATATTAAAAAATCTCTTCATCCTGTGGTTGTCTTCCTTTTCTTAGTTGTATCTTTTGAAGAACAAAAGTTTTTAAAATTTGGATGATATCCAAGTTATCTATTTTTTTTCTTTTGTTGCTTCTGCTTTTATGTCATCTCTCAGAAACCATCACCTAATCCAAGGGCAGGAGAAATTGATTGCCTATGTTTTCTTTTAAAAAATTTCATAGTTCTAGTTCTCCCAATGATCTCTGATCCATCTGGAGTTAATGTTTGTTCATGGTGTGAAGTAGGGATTCATCTCCATGCCTTTGCATGTAGTTATCAACTTCTCCCACCCTGGTGGTTTAAGAGGCTAATCTTTTCCATGGAATTGTCTTGGTGCCCTTGCTGATGGTCCCTGACTTTTACTTTCTTTATGGATCTTGATTCTGTCATTAGGAAGCTCACCTTTCCCCTCCTCAGTCTGTTTGGTTCCCAACCTTTACAGCTGCCTTCCTCCTGTTCTATTCTTGCCATCTCTCCCTACCTGTCTCCTAATACTGGTGTCATTCCACTCTGATATTCTGCCATCTTTGGCAGAATATATCCTGCCATGTTCCAATGGCACGTCCCAGTCCTTTGGATGATCCTAGACCAATCATTTCCTTTTTGAATCATGAGGAAACTGAGTCACATGGAAGTAGAATAATTTGTCAAGGACATACTTCTCATTCGTGGAAGGACCAAGACTGGACCTTGTTTCATCTTCTGACTTTTAGCCCTTCAATGTGTCTGTGGTCGCCACACCTAAGTGATGCCACCACCCAGACCAAACGATGGCAGGCTAAATTTTAATTCTAATAAAATGTTGTAGGTTGATTTTTTTTTTTTTTTTTTACTTCAAAAGAGGTCCTAATAAAGGTCTGTTACCTGCAGTTTGCTGTTAGTAGAGGCTTCTATTTTCTGACATGCTCATTATCATCTGCTCTTCTTACCTTCTAACGATTATAGTTAAATCTTGCCTCTTACAGTGGAGGAGAAAATGGTAGAGTACAAATGGTTACTTGGTACCAAAATCTCTCTCTCGCCTATCAATTCACCAGCTGATCCTTTCCTTGGGAGTCAGATAAGCTACCATAGAAGGTTTTGTTTATCATTTCATTAGAGTACAGAAAAACCATTGTGCTTCTTGTCTCTGTCCAGTTGTGTTTCCTGTGGGCTCCAAGTCCAGACACTGGACCTGCAGGGCCTTCATCTCCTTCCAAGGCTTTCCCACCACCCCTGCCATGTGTCCTAGGTCATGTTTTCTTCTTGGTGGCGGTGGAGCTTTATGTCACTGTAACCTAAATACTTGATAAGAACAACTCAGAGGAGGAAAAGTTTATTTTGGGCTCACAATTTCAGAGGATCTGTCCATGGCCAGCCAGCTCCATTTCTCTGGGTCTGAGGTTGAGAACATCACGGTGAAGGAGAGCTGTCTGCTCATGGCAGCTGAGAAGCAGAGAGAGGTAATATGCACAAGGAGCCTGGAATGAGATATAATCCCCAAGGACACACCCAAAGTGACCTACTTCCTCCAGCCAAGCACAATCTGCCTAGAGTTACCACCCAGTGGGTATTCAAATGATTAATTCTTCAAATAGACTAATTCACTGATGATGTTACAACTCTCATAATCTAAGAGTTTCATCTCTGAATGTTCTAGCATCATGGCCCAACACAAGCTTTTTAGGTAACATCTCATATTCAAACTATAATAGAGAAAACAAAGGTACAAGCATGTACTCATCTCATGGTCCAGGCCACCATCTTGGACTGGAAGCCCCAGGTCTCCATCTTGAACTGGAAGCCCCAGGCTGAGTTCTTTACCATTAGACCAGCCAGCATCTTTTTGCAAGGTTGTAATAAACCTTTCTCTGTTCACTAGTTTGCACCTGTACCATGACGACATGGAGGCTATTCACTAGAGCCGCAATAGGATTCGCTAGGGGAAGGGGTGGTACACATTTGGAAAAGGCTGGATGGGGTGGCCGAGTTCCAAGTCCTGCCTGGGATCCTAAGCAAAGGTCAGTCATTGCCCTAGTGACCTCTTGCCCAGGCAGCCTCAGGCCCCTTAAACAGAGCTATTAACCTAGAGAAGGATTTTCCGGGAACCAGCTGGAGCTGAGCAGTGTGTCACAAGTTTCCAAGTCCAGGGTTGCTCCGGGGGGCTGTCCTGAGCAACCACGGTTCTGAAAATCATTAACAAGTTGATGAGATGAATGGAAAAAGACTCCTTTGCTGTTGTCAGTAGAACAGAGGAGAAAGGCCCAAGCAAGACTCTGAGAAGGTCCAAGGGAATGAGAGGGGGCGGAGCGAGGTGAGGTGAGAGGGTCCAGTGTTGAATGTTGAACTCAGATGCAGGAGGACGGTCAGGGCAGCAGTCCTGGGTCCAAACCTGAGCTTGGCATGAGTGTCTGTCTCTCTGAGTATCTGTCTGTCCTTTAGAATACAGGCTGGGTACTCCACGAGTGTTGTTCATTGTTAGAGAACTTGACCCTGGGCTCCATCCCCAGAAGTCTGCAGCCACATGAATCTGAGGGGTGCCAGCTTTTTTCTCACTGTCCATTTATCAAAATCCTACAATGGGCCAGGCTGAGGCAGGAGGAGCCCAGGCTGAAGGCCAGACTCTGTCTCAAAATAAAAAAGGGCTTGGGGATACGGCTCTGTGGTCAAATGTTCCTGGGTTCAACCCCCAGCAGCAAATGCAAAAACAGAAACATAATAGACAGGTGACCTTGTGCATGCTTGTCCTGGGTGAGCACGGTGCCCCCCAGGGCTCAGGTGGCATGCACCGTAACATGAGTTGAATCTTCCCTGTTGTGTCTTTAGAAATCAACTCTAACTCCCACCTGCTGGCATGCTTACCAGGGCTCCTGGATGCTCCCCGCCAGCTCCACCATGAGCACATGTCTGGCTGGGTATGCTCAGGGGTCCCTGAGGGAGCTGTGGGGCTGGCTGCTGTCCCGAGCA